ATATGATAATTGTCTTTCTCTGTTTGACTTATTTCACTTAGCATAATCTCCTCCAGTCCCATCCACATTGATGCAAAAGTTAGCTATTCATCCTTTCTGATAGCTGAATAATATTCCATTGTATATATGGACCACATCTTCTTTATCCATTCGTCTGTTAAAGGGCATCTCGGCTCTTTCCACAGTTTGGCTATTGTGGATATTGCTGCTATGAACACTGGGGTACATGTGGCCCTTCTTTTCACTACCTCTGTATCTTTGGGCTAAATACCCAGTAGTGCAATTGCTTGGTCATAGGGTAGCTCTATTTTTAATTTTTTGAGGAACCTCCACACTGTTTTCCAAAGTGGCTGTACCAACTTACATTCCCACCAACAGTGTAAGAGGGTTCACCTTTCTCCACAACCTCTCCAACAATTGTTGTTTCTTGCCTTGTCAATTTTTGTCATTCTAACTGGTGTAAAGTGGTATCTCAATGTGGTTTTGATTTGAACTTCCCTGATGGCTAATGATGATGAACATTTTTTCATGTGTCTGTTAGCCATTTGTAGGTCTTCTTTGCTGAAGTGTCTGTTCATGTCTTCTGCCCATTTTTTGACTTGGTTATTTGTTTTTTGGGTGTTGAGTTTGAGAAGTTCTTTATAGATCTTAGATACCAGCCCTTTGTCTGTAGTGTCATTTGCAAATATCTTCTCCCATTCTGTGGGTTGCCTCTTTGTTTTGTTGACTGTTTCCTTTGCTGTGCAGAAGCTTTTTATCTTGATTAAGTCCCAAAAGTTCATTTTCACTTTCGTTTCCCTTTCCTTTGGAGGTCAGCACTATTATTATTTGGCAGGAAGAGAAACAGGTTCAGAGAGGACTCTGTGCTCAGGTGTAGTGCATTTTAGCTTTTATCCCCCAGCACCAGCATGACTTTTCAGCATCCCCAAAAAATGATAAAAAAAAATTTTAGAGGACTACTTTAATAAAATTTCAGCATAAAGGAAGTTACAGTTAATAGGCTTTAGATACTGTATAAGGATTCTTTAAGAGACAAGCATTAGTTATAATGTTCTTAACCTTAAATAAAATATCAGCTGAAGTTAGGAGAATTAATGCCAAAAAGCTGTTGACAGTAGAAGCACATTCTATTTGATATTAACTCTTGTCCAATTTTTAAATGACCCATACGGTACGAACATATAAAACTCTCCAGAGCTGTGCTCTTAACACTTAGCATGAAAAGATTACAAAAACCCCCTCCTTATTTGACAAGCAAATCCCTACGTGATCTGACCCCTACCTGCCTACACAGCTTTGTCTCCCAAATTGCAAGTCCCCCAGCCCTCCTGAACATGTTTTGTTCCCACAATACTGAAAGCTTTGGGTCTCATTAACATACTGCACGATTCTGAGCATCCTCACTGTGAGTTACTCTCCATGCTGCAGCCAGTTATACTTTTAAAACATACAGCAGATCACCTTGCTTCCATGCAAGAAACCCTTCAGTGGTAGTACCTGCTCTGCTTAGAATAAACTCCAGTTCCCGCCCCCGGCCCAGGGTGCCAGTGCCACCCCCCCACCACCCTGCCCCGTTTCCCACACACTCCACCCCAGCGGCCCTGCTTCATTTCTACCCAGGATAACTACACTTCACCTGGAACACCCTTTTTCCTTTAGATCTTGGCTAAATAGTTCTTTCAACTGACTTTGCCCCTTTTTGTTTTATTTCTGTATATACCTTCCCCCAGGCTAACATAGAGCTTTGGTTTAAAAGCCTCTTTCAGCAAATGAGACAAATGGTATGTGACTACTCTTGTTAAGAATACATTACCGCGGGGCGCCTGGGTGGCTCAGTCATTAAGCATCTCCCTTTGGCTCAGGTCATGATCCCAGGGTCATGGGATCGATCCCAGGACATGGGATTGAGCCCTGCATCGGGCTCCCTGCTCAGTGGGAAGCCTGCTTCTCCCTCTCCCACTCCCCCTGCTTGTGTTCCCTCTCTCACTGTGTCTCTCTCTCTCTCTCTGTCAAATAAACAAATAAAATCTCTAAAAAAAAAAAAAAAAAAGAATACGTTACCGCCAATTCTGTTTAATTGTGGCTCCCCCAAAAACCTTGAAACAAGATTTGTCAGGAATAAATAGTAATTTTTCTAGTTGAGAATGGGTTTTCTATAACTCCCTAAATGACAGTTTTTAGCATGACATTTATGGCCTTGCTCTCCTTTGTTGTGTATTAACATTTCACTTGTCATCTATTAATGTTTCTGAATTCATTGGTACCTAATACGATTCCTGCTTTGAAATTATAAGCCTCAGTTTGTTTTTGCACAGTGCACCAATGGAAGATTTAAGTCCAAGATCTGGACACAACACCAGCTTCTCTGTGAGTGGCCATTGTCACGTTGCTGCTTTACTGAGAGAGTCTTCTCAAAGCACATCTGTCAAGGAAACTGTAAGAAAACTGGCATCTAATTTAAGGTAAAGATATTTGCTAACATATTTCCATGCGTTTTGCTGAACTTTCTAAGCAGTGACGACTCCTGGTCTTTTTTCTCCTCCCCCCGCCCCATGGAGTGGTAAAGTTATCAAGAAGATTCAATAGAATGACTTTATGACTTGTCTCCTAACTATACGGCTACAGATATACCACGGGTTAAATGTCTCTTGAAATAGAACTACAGACACTAACTGCCTGTCCTCAGGTGGCCTGTCACATGGTCTGGCAGTATGGGGGAATGTTAGTTCTCTCCTGGATGTTATGAAGAATTCTAACTGAATTTCTTCCTCCTTCCCTCCATTCCTTCCTCTTTTGTTTTTTATTTCTTTGGTTTTTGCCTGGTGAGGACCCTCATGACATTTGTAATGGCCTTCTGAAAAGTCTCCTTTTGTAGCTTTAGATACTAAACTTATCGAGGGAAATTGAGTTTTACTTTCTGGCTCAGTGTAGGAGGTTAACATTTGTGGGCAGGGTAAATGAGGGATTTAGATGTTTGGATCTCAGTTCTCAAAGGATGCAGACAGAGATGGAATAAAGTCCAGGATTCAGAATTTTTCCAACTAGGGACCAATGATAGGAAGCCAAAGAAGTTAGTATACACAAGAGTGCTCTAAAATAGGTAACAGAGGGAAAGGGAGGAAGAGCACCCTGGAATTAGTGGAGCCAGTGGGTTTGGTTAGGGTTCATAGCCTGTGAGTGTCCTGTGTTGTAAAGTAAGAGGCTTTCGGCCAAGGAGAACACACCACATGCCCTAGCTAGAATCGTATTTTCCATGTGGACTGTGACTTTGACTTTCTAATCAGTGAGTGACTGCAAAAACTTCCTGAAGTAGAGAGTTGGCAAAGAATGGAATTAGAGAGTTGGCAAAGAGAAAGGTAACTACAACTTCTACTCAGGCCCAGGCTTTGGTCTTGTGTGTGAAAGGAGACCGCAAACCACTATAGGACTTGAACTCAATTCTGCAGTTGTCCTGGACTTTATGGAAATTTCTGCGGCAACATCCAGGGCTGTGGGGCTCTGCATACATGGGCATGAAGGTCCCACCTGTCCCTTAAAAACACACTCCCAGCATCTGTCCTGCCCTAGGAGAAAGGAGGAGGCACTCTTGTTTATACGTAGGTGGATCTGTTTGGACTTTGCATCAGGGCACATCTTCACTAATGATGCTAGGGATCCAGAGACAAGTTGTTGACCAAGAAATGAAGCTGGAGTGCTACATTTCTTAACATTTAAGTTTTGATCACTAAATCTGCCCTGGTACCTGAGTTGGCAAGCCTCCACTAGCCTGGGAATGGGATGGAAGCAGGTCAGACCTCAGTGTTGTACAGATGTTATGAAGTTGAAAAAGGCCACTAATCCAGTGATCTGGATGGATAATCAGTCTCATACTGACATGGTCTATGGTATAGTCCCTCAAGAATGGGATTCTCCAGCCAGTTCTGTCAGCATTTGTCCAGAAGTAATACATAAGCTCCTCAGTTTTGAAGTAGGGTAGCCATAGATTTGAATCCTGGTTTTTTCCTTACTGGTTCCAAGATTCAAGCATGTCAATTGAGCTCTAACACCAGGTGGCATGCAATAAATTATATATAGGAATATGCCCACATGTCCAATGACTGGGATATTGCTTCTTGATAATAATAGCTATCATTTTTGAGCTGTTATTATATTTTAGGCTCACCCAAGTATCATGTATGTATTAGCTCCTTACTCCCACAAACTTACGAGGTTGATGTTATTCTTTTTTTTAAAATGGATGAAGAAACTGAAGCTTAGAGAAACTAATACACCCAAAGTCACAATTACACAGCTACTAGGACAGGGCTGGGTTTAAGCCGAGGCTCCCTGATTTGTCGTCTCGTGCTCTGAACCACTGTATACACACACAGACACAGGTGCATATACATACAGAAACGTATATATGTATGTGTATATATATGTGTGTTTGTATACATGTATACATTTTATCACACACACACACACACGCACATACACACACACCCTTCGCTGTTCTCCACACTGAGATCTGGAGAGCCTTGTCTGGTGGTGTTGCAGCAGAGTTTGGGTACGCCACTGTGTATCATCATTTTCCTAATTTTTTCCTTGGCTCATCTTTGTTCTTGCATTTAAGCGTATCATTACTATTAATTTTAATGTTACGTGCGATCAAAAAGGGGATAATGTGATTGAGTGTACTAAGACATTAAAGTACATTCACTTCTATAATTAGGCATCACTAGAAAATTAAAATTTCCCGGAAACCATCTCCCTAATGAACGTGTAGAATTTTTGGTGCTTGACATCATCACGCTATTATCAACTGAACACTCTGAAGGCCAAATGTATTAATAAATCAGCTCTTTTTGGTACTGGCTTGCATTTTTTTGTGGTGATTGCTTTACAAAAGTATTAAGTGGAAAAAGAATTGTACAGAACACAAAGTTTAACTGGAACACAATGAGCTCCTCATTTATCAATCTTCTCTTTCACCTTGAGCAGCATGTAGTATGTTTTCTCACATTTCACTGATGAAACAGATTTCTTATCTTCTTTGTTATTCTTACCCCCTGTGCTGCACTATTCTGTATCTGGTCCATGTGTTATTCCTTGTGTAACTAGACTTCACATGTCTCAGGGCATGAGGATTGTGGCTGATTGTGATTGTGTAGAACGCGGAGGGTTCCATGTGCTTTACACTGACCATCCGTCAAGAGATTTGCCTGGCTTGTCACACGATAAAGAGAGTCGATAGAGCCCTTTCCCTCCACATGGTTCGCTCTGGACATGACCTCAGCCTTATCCCTTTCCACACTGCCAAAGTAGAGTCCGGCCACTTCTGTTTATGTCATGTTAATGGAATAAATTAATAAAAATAGTAGTTTTCATTGTTCATTTTCATTACCTGATTATGCTTAGTTTAGTGTTTTCTGACTTATGTTACTTTTTGTTTTATGTGTATTAGTTTATTTAATCCCCAAATATAGTAACATCTTTGAAAACAGATTGGATTTTCCACACCGTGTCTAGCATATATTAGTAGGTATTCAAAGACTACCTTTTTTTTTTTTTTTTTTTTAGTAGCCTCCATGCCCAGTATGGAGCCCAGTGCAGGACTAGAACTCATGACCCTAAGATCAAGACCTGAACTGAGATCAAGAGTCGGATTCTTAACTGACTGAGCCATCCAAGGGCCCCTCAAAGAATACTTTTAATAATGTAAAATGCAGTGAGAGTATTGCTGGATGTTAAAATATTTTCAGATTATGGGGTATGACTGAGTTGTGTTAAGTCAGAGGTAGATGAGCTAAACTCAGATCCAGACTGTTAAATTGTATTAGATGGTCCTAAAATTAGAGTAGTATTAAATTTCAAGTCACTCTCAATAGTAATGACAATAATAATATGTATTTATTATGCACTTCCTGTGTGCCAGGCACTGTCTTAAGGGCTTTGCATATGTTAACTCACTTAAACACCCGATAATTAGATTTTTATTATCCCCATTTTATGGATGAGAAAATTGAGGTTGGTAGAGGTTGAGTAATCTGCCCAGCGTTACATAACTCTTGGGTGGTAGAGCTGGAATTTCAATCGTGACAGTCTCCTAGTCCTTGCTTTGAACTGCTAACCCTCGGATGCCTTGTTTCAGTTCATTGTTGTGTGTGTAGACTTGATAATGAGGCAGACTTCATTTATTTCAACTCTGTAAAAGCCCAAACATGCTTTGTGTTAGCTTAAATTTTAAAAGTATCAAAAATAAGTTTTAAAAAGGAAGTCCCTTGTTATAGGTGGCTGCCAGTTATCGAAGCAAGAAAAAAACCCACAAAAGTAAATACATGAGCAGTTGGGGGTCTGTCAAAAAACATGAGCTGACTCCAGGTTTTACGAAATGAAGCTATGCCATTTCTGTTCATCGTCATCTTTCTCTTTCACTGGGTTGGAGAAGAGAGTTTCAAGCTACCTCAAGTAAGAGGCTTGCTCTTTTTCTTAGCCAAGACCAGGCTTGTGAACTTGGTTACTTTTTAAAAAGAGCAGCTGGATGACCAGGTACTTCTGTGTTTTCCTGCTCATGTCTAGAGGGAATGGAGCTGTATTAATGCAAGTGGGAGAGTTTTCTTAATAAAAAGCTACTCTGTTGGGAAGGGTGTAGGACTGGAGAGTGAAAAGGAAATGACCCTCAGCCGCAGCGCTTCCAAGCTTGGCCATCACGGATAGAAACAGCGCTGACTCAGGGTTGTAGCTCACCTGGTTGAACTCTTTAAAAACTTCCAGTTTGAACTTGCAGATTTGGGTATGGATTTTATAGGAATTCAGCTGAGATGGGCATCCTAACCGAGGACCTCCTATAATCCTGGATGCTAGTAACAGCTCTGGAAGATCTTTAGGCTATTTCTTTCTTAAAGTCTTGAGAAGAGAGACAGAGGAACAAAGACATGTTCCTGATTTTATTATCAAGTCTGAGAGCAGAGCTGTGAGTAGATGCTCCAAGGGAAGAAGGGCTGTTCCTGTGGGACAAGAGTCCTGTTGAGAAGGTGGCATGTGATTCATGAATCCCCCATGTGCACAGTATCCATCTGACTCAGTGGCTACCGGTGAAAAGACACCACTTTATTCCTGCAGTTTGGTGCTGAACGCCTCCTGGCACACTCCTGGCAGCATGTTCCCTGGATTAGAGGATCACTATGTCCTAAGGGAAACCTGAAGTTTGTGAGTGGAGGGAGGTTTGATACACCCTCAGGAACAAAAGAAGATACCAGCAAGGGATGCCAGTGAAGAAAGGGACTCAAGACAATACATGAAGGAATTTTCTAAGAGTTCTTAGCTACATTCAGACCCTGCTTCTGCCATTTTTGGTGTCTTACAGTTTCCTAACAGCATCTAAAGGTTTTTCTGAATTAATCTTTCAGGAAAAGGAAAGTCCATGTGTTTGTGCTTGGAGACCGCAGGAGCTGTATAATTTGCCCTCTGTCTTGTCGGTCTTATGGGACAGAATCCCCAAGGGAAAAGCTAATTAGCAGCAGCTCTGGGGAAGAGAGAGTCAAAGGCAGAAAGCAGAGACCCTGGGGGAGAGAGACAAAGGAGAGTGCACCTGCTAGGGCCTGTTGCGGGGGGTGGGGGAGAGGTCCTTAATCATCAGGAAACCAGAGAGTCTCAAAGTAAGAATAACTCCTCAACCAAAGAGTTTCCATAAAGATGACATGAAGTTACATATATCAAGCATATAGTAGCACTTAGTACACTTCCAGCACTTTATAAAGAGTGGTTGAATGTGACCAGGGGGCTCACTATTGCCAGAAAATACTTGTCCCCAGCATGTAGTGCAGTGGCCGGGAATGCATGCTTCATGCGCCCCCCACCCTCCTGCCCCACAGCTGGCTAACTCCTCCTCCTCCTCTGGGGCTCCCCATCATGGGCAATGCATGCCCATAGCGCTGCATTCCCATTCTCATCCCAGCGTTTATCACACTGTCCTAGAAAAGCTTACTTCCCTGCTTGCATTCCCATGAGGCTGAATTCCATGAAATAAGAACATATGGGTTCCTAGCATGGGGGCAGATGCCAGGCTTTGGCAGGGGCCACCGGGTAAAAGCTATGTGGTGGTGGGGTTCAGGGAATATCTGGGGGACTATTGGGCTTGAGCGTATTGAGAAAATACAACATGGCAGAAGCTGTAAAACTTTTATATAAAGTTGTGTTTTATTTTAAAATGGTATCTAGCTTTAGAAATATTAGTATGTTTGTGTGAGAAATTATTTAGACAATAGATGATGTGTGGTGTAAATTCTGATGCAGAGATTGCCAAGTTTGAAAATAATTCGGAACTAATCCAGAACTTTTTTCTCCCCTAGCCTGCCCCTTCACCCTCTCTCAGTCCCAACCCAGTGCTACCACCACCTAAAATTTGCCTCTCTGGAAGCACCTCCTCAGAAGATGGCTGATATGCTCTAAATCTAAACCCAAAAGCATTTATACCCACCATGACAAGGACTGTTGCTCAGGAGAGGCTCGAACCATGTGTTGGGGGAAGGGAGGCTGGATTTAGAGAGAGAAGGGGCTGGTTTGTGTAAAAGACCTCCCCTCTTCTGCCCCACCAAACCAGCCCTAGCGGTGACCACAGGTCACCATTCCTCGGGACTCCACTTGTAGCTCTGTTCTCCATCCCATCTGATTTCTGCTCATCTCAAATGCCCAGAACTCACTCACCTTCTTACTAACCGGGCAAATAATTCTGAGGAGTGTGAGTGTGTGTGTGTTATATTTGACGTTGTGTAGTGTTGAGGATTTTTAACGTTTGAATTGAATTTCCTTGAAACTATAAATGAATATTAAAACATAATAGTCTTAAAAAACTCGGAATGTAAATTAGGTAAAAAACAGCTATTTTATCTTTTGTGTGCCATATTATTTTACAGTTGAAAAGTTTTGTAAATCCCTTGGATGATATACATGAGGTTCTTAGAACCCTTCAACACAAAAACACTCTATGCACTTTTAAGATAGAGTAACTATAAATTTCTAGATTTCATATTCTCCCAGGAATGAGATATGTATCATCTGGGTGACTAATCCCAGAAAAGCGGTCACCCTACAAAGGCGGGGCGCTGCTGCCTCTTGGCAAAATGAAGCACCTGTCAGAACGATGGCCAGTCACTGTTTGGAAAGAACAGGGTCCACGTATGATTTCTAAGAGTAGCCACAGAGCCCCAGATGAAAGGAATTATTCTGGAGAATTGAATTCTTTGGCTTTCTTAGGGGAAGAAAAAAAGTCAGGAGACAATGTCTTTCCTTCAGAAATTTTGCAATGCTGAGTCTTCTGCAAGGAGAACACTCAAGTAGGTGCAGGGCTTTCCTGGGCTGCTTGATTATGGATGGGCATTGTGAGCCCGTGCCTGCTTTCTGCCTGCCCGCCTGCTTCCTTCCTTCCGCTCTCTCACTCTCATTTCTTTTCTTTTTTCTCTTCTCTTCTCTTTTTTCTTTTCTTTTCCTTTCCTTTCTTTCTTTTTCTTTCTCTTTCTCTCTCTCTCTCTTTCTCTTTCTCTTTCTTTCTCCCTTCCTTTCCCTTCCTTTCTTTCTACTTTCGTTCTTCCTCTTTCTTCCTTTCTTTTTTAAATAAACTTTTAATTTTAAGATAAGTATCGGTTCACAAGAAGTTGTAAGAAATAATATAGAGAGATGCCCTGTACCCTTTACCTACTTTTACCCGGTGGTAATGCTATCACAGGATGTTGGCGTGGACACAGTCAAGATACAGAACAGTCGCCTCACCCCGAGGATTCCTCCTGTTGCCTCTTTATAGCCACGCCCACTTCCCTTTCCCCAGTCTGTGCTTCTTGGGGAAGACTTTGATGACAGGGGTAAAAACAGTTTGGTGGGCGTGAATGTTCATCTTTGCCAAGACGTTTAACCCCCAGCAGTGCTGACAGGTGAGTGCTCGTCCCTGTTCCCTGTACCTCACCATCTCCGCTCTGCTCATATTCCTAGGGAGATTCTTCGGTACTTTTTCCCTAAATATCAGCTACTGTCAGAAGTTGGCTACACATCTGTGGAGGAACTTGCAGCAAGTTTTGAGGTAAGCCAGCTTTATTGGAACTTTGAGGGAATGACAGAATAGCCTGACCTTCGTCTTCATTGAAGGTACATTGTAAAGTGTTACTGGGAGGAGGACCTAGAATGGTTTAAGTGAATGAAGATGGGGATCTTTATACGACATGGATGACTCAGAATGAAAACTGCATTTAAAACCAGTGTGGCCAAGGTTCAGATAAACTTTGGGAAGATCTTACCGAGAACGGAAAGTTGCAGAGATGAAAAGAAACAGGACATGGTCCCTGACTTCCCTCCATGACACCAAAAATAAGAGTTTCTATTGCTTGGATACATGTTCCTCAACCACCCGTTATGGGGGGCTGAGGTGAGGATTGGGTGGGTCAGCCGTGTCAGGTGCCCAGAGCACTAGTCTTACTAAAATCACTAACACATCACAGGGAATGATGAAGAAAATTCTATTTACCAAACCTCCTTTCAGGGACAGTGCCATATGGGATTAGAAAGAAAACTCGGTTCAGCTACCTGGGCTCATACAGGTTGTCTGCAGGCCGCTAAGTTACTGCAGCTGTGGTGAGGCTGAGTGAACTGTGCAGGCCTGGGGCTGCCAGAAGGTGCTCCCTGGAGCCCAGAAGAACCCTGGGGTACAGGAGGGTGGGAGGATGCTTTCTCTGCCTTCATGCTCAGCATTGCTTGTGGCGAGGATGGATATACATGGAAAGGCTGTTAGTGAAAAGAACACCAAATAATTTATTTGACAGAGGTGACTTATGCTTTAATCTGATCCTGCGGAGAAACCCTTGATTTTCTAATGGATAATTATTGTTTCTGCTCCCTCACCTTCTACCCTCACCTCCTCCTCCTCCCCCTCCCCACCCCCTTGCCAGGGTTCCAACTCTGTTACTTCCCTGGGACTGTGTTGTGAGGCCACCAGTGACCTCTAGGCCAACAAATGCAGTGGTCGCTCTTATCTTACCTGACCTCTGAGAGCCCAACCCACTTGACCAATTTTTTCTTCTTGAACCGCTTTCTTTGTGTCGCTTCCGTGACAACACACTTCCCATTTTCTTGCTTTTCTTCCTCCCGTCTTTTCTGCTGGCAACTCAATTCCTTCTCTGTCTGGTTTCTAAATGTTGGCATGTCTGAGGGCCCATTCCTGGGCCATTTTCTTCTCTTAATGTTAAGTGCTGTTTCCAGGTGACCTAGACAAGTCTGTGACTTTAAATACCATCCCATATGCCTGTAACTCCCCAGTCTATTTCTGTGGTGTTCCCATTCCAGAGACCCAGACTCCAGCTACCTTCTTGACATCCTCTTGAATAATCTTTGTCATTTACTTTTCCTTCCCTTTTTTTTCCTTCTGCAATTGTTTAACCATGCTGTTTATTAATTATGTAAACTGCCTTAATCTTTTTTTGGAATAAGGTGAGGTATACTTTAATTAATTTAATTGGACCCAGGCTTAAAAGACCCCCAGTACCAATGTTGGCCAGTTCTAGGCTTTGATTGTTTTTTTATACTAGATACTTGCACGTTATAACTCCACTGTGGACAGCTCATTCTCTAAAAGCTAATATCCTGTCCTATTATTATTTACAAAAACAGCTGGAGCAATGCCCAGAGCAGACAAACAAAAAGCTGAGAATGTGCTTCAACCAGGTAAGCTTTTTAATGTTTTTTATAAATGTAGTCATTTATATTCTAAATGATCCCATATTCCAAAGGAGAAATAATATACATTTCCAAATGTTAGGTTTGGAAGGAAATCAAATTTGCATTCTCTTATCAAGACTAAGATTAATGGGTAGCATATCAGATGTCACAAAACAACATCTTTTTGAATTTTAAAATGCAAATGCTTCCACAGCAAAAAGCTTATGAAACACTGGGAGTAGGACTATATTTTGAACAGAATACATGACGTGCGGTGTCTTTAAGAAATAGGTTAAGTCCTTGAGACACTGGACTAAACCAGAAATCATTTGCGGATTAGAGTTTTTAATTATTTTGGACAGCTTGATATCTCGGGGTTTTTTTTGATTGTTTCTTTGTTGTTTTTTAGTATCCTGTCAACAGTTTTTTAAGTTTATGATTTTTCCATTATAAAGGTAGTTATAAAAGCAATACTACTAAAAGTACTTATGCTTACAGCCATCTTCTGGAATACTAAAAATAACATGCAAACCTAGAAAGACTAGGAGGTGCGTGGTGACCCCTGGAATCATGGGAAGCAGAAACAGAAGGAAGGGCACCGCCTCATCTCTTTTGTAGGGAATGGAATAGATTTGGATATTCTTGTTTCATAAGTGGAATAGAACTACGAAGTAAGTTCCCAAAGATATATAACCAGGCAAACTTGAGATGAAAATTAGAACCTAAACCAGACTCCTTCTTAGAAAGGCTGCATCGCAAAGTATTTGAAGTGTAGGATGTGCCTAAATTTCACAGCCTTGTCGATATGTTTGCCTCTGATGTTTCTGAATGAGTGCCTACTGGACTGTGATAAACAGAAGGAAATGAAGGTTTCCCATCACTGTTCAACTGAAGAGCGAGGTTATTTCCTGAATAATGTCCATTGAAAAGGAGTCACTGAACATTTTCAGCCTGAAGACATGGCTTGTCCACATTTCCTAACTAGATCACAAGACAGAGTTTTCATTCAATATATTTTTGATCCTATTTCTAGCACTATCTTATTTTCATCCATGAATGTAAAGCAGGGATTGATCAAGGGCCAGTAGAGGTAGACACTAAACTAAACTTTTATATGAGCCAATACCTCATTAATCCTCAAAATACTGGGAGGTAGATGCCACTATCTTATGTTAGTAATGAGGAACGAGAGAGTCAGCAAGTTAATAGTCCAGTGTCGTGATGCAAGTAAGTAACAGATTCAGGATTGTAACCCAGACGTGTCCCACTCCATGCTCGTTCTCTGCATCACTGTCTTCCATCTTCCTCTTACCCAGACTGTCCTCCTTCATCCTGTGACAGGGTCTGCGTGTGTAACTTGCCATATGTATACCGCAGCTTCTCAGCCTTTTGGTGTAAAAGAATTATTGTTTACTTACTAGAGACCTTGATGTGGCATGATGAGATGCATATGGGGGGCTGCTGACAGTGGAATGGGGGGGGGTGCATGGTGGGAAGGTTGTTTAGTGTCCCACCAGGAATTGTCCCAACTGGAAGTCTGTGGCAGCCAGTTCCAAGAATTACTGGTCAGGCTCCTGGATCTTCCCATAGATCTTCATTTACTGGTTAGGGATCTCTGACTTAAATACTTAGCACCATGAAACTTAGAAATTTGCGAAGAATTAGGTTGTCACGCACCTTAGTTTATCCAGGCTTATGTGTGTCTTTCACGTCTGTTCCTAAGTGATATTTTTCTGGTATCTGTATGATCAGTAACGGAGCCAGGTTGTGGTTGGGTTTGGAGACCAGACTGAATAAGGGAAGTATTTATGCAAGGTGAACCGTGTTAGCAGAAATGATGAGTAGAATCCTCTTAATGTTTAGGGCAAGTGGGATTCAAAGAATCAAAGCAAGATAAACCATCAGGAGACCATGACTTCCTGTTGAAACAGAGATGTTGTTGCAAGCAAAATACAGAATCATTGTGATCATGACTTCCCCAACATGAAACTGTTTGGTCATGAGGACTTTATTATTGATTGGTAATTTTAAGTGGATGGTTATAAAAACTATTAAAATCATTTTTTGAAATCCATGTAGAGGACAGATCTATGCAACTTGATTTAAGCTGCGTACTTTTAATAAAGACAGCTGCATCAAAGCACAGGAGGATCCTTGATAAGTCACAGATGTCTTTGGTCACCTTGCCCTGGTTTCCATAACTACTATTAATAGTAGATGATTTATGACCACATAGGTGGTCCCATACGACTTTGCCTAAACCACCATCTTTTATTCTTTCCTCTCACAAACCATCTGCCCCATCCGAAATGGAATTGTTCCAGTCTACCAGACTGGCCTGCCTCTGAGCCTTTCCCCATGCTGTCCCCCAGAGCACTCTTGTCTACTCTCCCAGTCTGCAGTTGGGCTCTTGAAATCCTGCCCACCCGATGTTGGGTCTGGTCAATGTCACCTTCCACTTCAAGCCTTCCTCAGTCTGTCCATGTGAACTTAATCTTGACTTTCTGTGTTCTGAGAGAAACTTAAAACTTTTTTAGCATTAATTAAATTTTCCGCCCTGTGTTGTAGTTGTTTCTTGTATTTTATTTTCTCCTTAACTAGATCATAGAATCCTTGAAGTTAGCAATTCTTTCTTATCAAACTCTGTATCCTGCCAGCATTCAATCAGTACCTTTGAATGCATCTAGACCCTACCATTTGTACATTGAATCAAGGTTGATTGTTTCTGCTATAGTGCCGGCCCACATAAACACTCACATGTCACATACCTATAAGTAGAGTAAAAAATCTGTAGATCTTGTAGGCCAGACTTTCTTTGTGCTAACTTGTTAGGGATTCTGGAGCTCCAGAGCTGCTAGAACTCTGACTTTTTAAATTCAAGGCACAAAATTAAAATCTCAAATCCTAATTCTGTTCTGAATTAATGGAGTTTGGAAAGAATTCCATTTTTGATCTGCCTCAAATACCTCTACAAGAGTAGGTTTAACCAGCAAAACTAAGCCTCTCATCTTGTTACAATTCTCTACTCCTAATTAAAAGGTTAATACAACCAAAAGTCCTTTTACATTGAGCTTTGAAAGTTCTCAAAATTGCTACCTTTTATAGAGACCTCCTGATAATGTTAGCCTGAGAAAGGCAGAAGAATAAATCAGGAAACTGGCTGGTAGTGTTTGAAGGAAATATAGTTTGCTTGGTTACAAAGCTGTGAACTTTGAGAGACTAAGTATGACCTTGAAAATAGTGGGCTATATAAACATCCCTAATGTCATGCTGTATGAACAGTGTTGCCTTCTGAACTTTTTATTGAAAAGTAATTCTAGGTACACAGGAAATTACAAAACAGTAGAGAGGTCTCATGTACCTTTCCATTTTTCCCAATGCTTATGTCTTAATTATATAACTATAGTAGAATATCAAAACCACAAAACTGAAGTTGGTGAAATACATGTCTCATTTTATTCACATGTGTGGATTTGTGTAACCACCACCAAAACCAGGATCCAGACTCCCACCACCACAGAGATCTCCCAGTTCTCTCCTTTATAGTCACACTGCACACAAACAAGTGCCCCAGCTCCAGGCAACCGCTAATCGGTTCTCCATCTCTATCATTTTGTCATTTCAGTCATGCTATAGAAATGGAGTCATATAGTATGTGTCAATTTCTGATTGGCTGTATTCACTTAGCATAACGCCCTTCACATCCATTCAAGTGTTATCAATAGTATGTTCCTTTTATTGCTGATAAGGAATAATGTTGTTTTTCAGATTTCTTTTTAATTTTACTTGTTTTGGTTTGTTTTCTTACTACTATTGCTTTTATCAAAAAGTGTTCCTTGGCTTTCATTCAGGTGGCAAAAGCTGTGAAATTCTAGAGCTTTGAATACTAAGAACTCAGTGTGACTGGTGACGTCTGAGCTATCTATGACTCTGTCCTCCTTGAATTATTTACCCTACTCCACCTTCTGGCAATGGGGGACAGCACTCCCTGGGGTTGAGTAAAGCCACCACCGGAAGTATCTATGAAGCTTCCTGGAGGAGGTGGTTATTGCCTTAATTGGAAGTCATCAACTTTTTTTTTTATTTAAAGATTTCATTTATTTATTTGAGAGAGAGAGAGAGCATGAGAGGGGGGACGGTCAGAGGGAGAAGCAGACTCCCCGCTGAGCACGGAGCCCGATGCAGGACTCCCCATTAAAGATCATTAAGCTACTTAAAGTACATGGATTAATATCAGTAACTTATCCTCCAATTATTTATGCTTTTTTAAAAAAGATTTTTATATATTTATTTATTTGGGGGATAGAGAGAACGAGCAGGGGAAGGAGCAGAAGGAGAGGGAGAAGCAGACTCGTTGCTGAGCCTGGCCCTCACGGACTCGATCCCAGGGTCCTGGGATCATGACCTGAGCCGAAGGCAGATGCTTAACCAACTGAGCCACCCAGATGCCCAGACGTCATCAACTTCTTGTGGGTTGAATTGAGGATGTTTGAAAGTGGGTATCCCCCCAAGATCTCAGAACATAGCCTGGATTTCAGGTCAGGATTGGCCTGTGTGCTTAAAACCCCTTTGCTGTGAACGCTGCCCATCTGCTCTGCTAATTCTCCACATTTAGTGCCAATGGTGTGGCACACATGGGAAATACAGGGGGTGAACAAAACCAGTGCTTTTTTACATTGAGGTTACGTTCTAGAGGAAAGACAGATAACAGACCATAATGTAACATCACATAATGATAGCTACTAAACACGTAAATAAACATAAAATAATTGTGCAGGGCCCGGGGGTAGACTGTGACGGTGCATGTTGGGGAAGGGGCAGCCTATTTCAGAGCAAGGGGTACCTGAGCCATGTTGTAGCACAGACCTGAGGCAAGCAGTGAGCCTTGTGGAGGTTGGGCTTGAACTCACTGAACAGAGAAAGCAGCAAGGGTGAAGGGCCTGAGGCAGGAATGAGCTTGGTGTTTTCCTGGAAGAATGAGGCCCGCAACTCAGGGAAATAAGGTA